AAGTGTAGGAGTAATTCTTAAGTTTCAGTCTTAGAGCTGATTTGTGACACCTGGCTGTGCCGCGAAGCTGATCCTGGATGACATTAGAAAAAAAAACCTGACATGGACCAATCACTGCCTCGGATTTCATGTTCAAGAAGATTCTGAGTGGAAAAAATGTGAAAATCACAAGTTCACAATAAGCACATTAATCTTCATACATAAGTTGTACTGATTACATGGATTTTCAGCACATTTCACTATGTTTTACATGCACACAGAAATATAGAAAAAAAATCTGATTTAAAAAACTCAGCTTCAATATTTTTTGTCTCAGAGCTTGAGGAAATGTTAAGAGCCGTCTTAACTTTTCAGGAGAGTAAGAGTGATTCTTAGTCTGAAGAGTTGTGATAACTGGTTTACACTTAAGTCTGACAGTAGAAGCAAATTTAAGACATTTTCAGCACCTAAGTCTAAAAATCCACTCTAAGAAGTTTGATAAGTACGAGTCCAGATCTACAAATCAGATAAAAGGAAATTATTTTAATAATGAGCAAGGAAAAAAAAGTAAAAGAAAATGTGACATGAAGGGGCTGAAACCTTAAGAGTTTTTTGTATTTAAAGAGTTTATAAAACTGATGTAAAACACAAAGACTCTAAGGCTGTGTTCACACTGCAGGCAACAGGGATTCAATCTGATTCTGTTCAAAGCTGGAACTAAATCAGAACCATCTGATGTTTCTCACAGACCTCAGTCTGAASGCTCAGGGCTCAGTGGACTACAGGGATCCAGATGGATCTGGATCTTCTTCCCAACATCCTGCAGTCTAAACTCTGCWGGTCYTCAGCTGCAGAACASAARTCTGGTTGTTTCTTTTTGAAACGACTGAAGACAGAACTGACTGCTAACAGCAGTAGAGCAACACGTTGGACCAGAACCAGGCTGGACTGTTCTCTTCTCCAGACGTGGCCTCCTGCTCCTGCAGGCAGGAAGCAGCTGAGGGAAACAATGGAGCAAACCATCACAACAGACCATAATGCAACTGGTTGTGAYGGGTCAACACATGCTAACATGTAGCATCCAKGTTTACAGCTGTAAAGYCTGYGCAGAGTGTGACATCATTCTGCTTCAGGACTGTCTGATGGAGGTCATTTCAGTTAGAAYGGTACTGAACACACAGAAACCTCTGAACTGGGTCTTAAAACCTGCCGTGTGAACAGAACCTGAGGAAAGACAAGCAGAGGTTTGGAGCACATGGTTAAAGGAAACTCTTYTAAAGGACAAAAACAGATTGATCTCATCAGCAGACGTCCTTCTGCTCCACGCACATACACCTCTGGCCATGATCTCCTGGTAAAGACTCACAAAGACACCTGTTCCCTCAGACGTCCAGGTGAGACAGCAGGACACTACACCTGTGAGTGAACATAGCATGTGTGTTGTGAAGAGACAGACAAACAGGCTTCAGTAGTCCAGGACGGCAGGATGGATTCAAGCAGGRCGAGTCAYCATGGACTCGTCCTCTTTCAGGGTGAAAACTAAACTGAACCGGAGCCAGGCTGGACCCAAGCAGTCCCCCTCAGAGGGTCCAGGTCCACGTGTTACCAGCTGAACAGAGAGTTGTGTCCGAGCGTCATGAAGTAAATCTGACTGCTGCCTCCTGACTGCACCGAGGCAAAGAACACCTGCAGTGAAGAGGAAAGGTCAGGGCTCGCTCTGAAACACGTCACAGCCTTTGATTTGTTACAAATAGAAAACTGTCTCTCTCACTCTCACCTTGTCGTTCCTCTCACACAAGAACTTCAGCTTCTGGGTCTTTTTGTGCATRAAAACTCCTTCCAGGTTCCCAGTGTTGGCCGACCTCAGCTCTATGGCCTTTTCTCCCCAACCCATCACCTGGTTGGACTGCAGGTAGGCTGCAGGGACAGACAGGAGGACAGGAGGAGACCAAGGTTTCTGCACGTGTCTCTGAACAAATATTTACAGAATAAAAGAAGCTTTTTGTTGCATCCTGACCCACAGACTGTCTCTGCAGAAAACCTTTCAAACTAGTTCTCAACACAAACATGATATTTCACTTTGGAACAACTACAAGTTTCTGCATCTTCAGTTCTTCCTGTAATTACCGTATTAATTCATGTATAATATGATCTCATGTATAATATGATCTCATGTATAATACGATCTCATGTATAATA